TGCGTCTAGCATGAAACCGCCTGTCGCCTGTGAGTGTTGCCTACAATGTTCATTTTATATTTATATTTACATACGCTCTATCTCTGATATTGAGCACTTTATCCTATAAATATAGCACACATTATATATATATATATATATATATATATATATATATATATATATATATATATATTAATTATTTTTTCGAAACCAAACCTAAATCTTAAATTAAACTTAAATTAAACTTAAAATTTAAAGTTCAGTTCCATTTTCAAGCGATACAGATTAACCTTCGAAAAAATGATTTACTCTGTTTATAAGCCAAATAATATTATATATTTTAATTTGATGGGGGAATGAGAATTCAATTTCTTTTTTATTTATTAAAGGCTTTTTTGACGAATCAAGATACAAGTATATTTTTATGTGCCAAAGTGAAAAACTGTTAAGGTTAGATGGGGTTTTGAAATTCCTGTCAGTTGATGCTGACTTCCTTTTATGCAAACATATCATCACAGTTTGTTTTTTTTATGGTTACACTACAATTCAATTGGCATTTATTTATTTATTTATTTTATTTATTATCTTATTTTTTAATCTATATCGAGATTTTCTTGAAGGCGTTTTCAAATATGATTAAGTCATATTATTTATATTTTAATTATAAAGATCTAAAATAATATACTTATTATATTTACTAATAAGCTATATATGATATTGTAAAATTAAAATATTAGAATTTAATTACGCATTTTATATATAATTATGAAAATTATTTTTATGATTAATTATTTTTTAAGGAAAATATGAGACAATGTCTTCAAAAACAGCTATTTCATTTCTTTGATTTAATAAATTTTCATCTTTCAGAAACTTAATAATATATAACTTTTCATGTAGGCACAAAGGACATGGGCCATTTAAAGATCTACATGTTCTCATTTTTTATATTAGTTTCCTTTTTACTGTGGGTGGTTTATTTGTTTCTTTTAAATGCCAAAAATATTTGGATAGGGATGTTTGGTTGCGATACTTAATATTATTGAAGGAAGTCAGATGTTGGCTCCATCTTAATTTAAATTCATTTTTATTAGTCCAATATAAAATTTCAACATATTAGGATTCCCAATAGATGGGATAGTGCATTTGTAAACTACAGATTCTGTGAGACATTTATTATTCAAAGGACAACTTTCAGGATTCCTACAGTTATATAATTTTTCTTTACTCTTGTTTATTCTTATTTCTGGATCACTATTTCTTAGAATTTTATTATTATATTTCTTTATAATTTTTTCTAAATTTTCAGTACAACTGCAACTTAAGTTCAGGGTATTTTTATTAAAGATTTTTCTAAGATTTTTTCTAGGTAAATGTTTATCAATTAAAGCAAGAAATTTATGTCCCAACTTATTACTAACCATTTGGCTGAATGAGGGTGTGTACCAATTAGTGTGACAAGGAGTTTTGTTGGCCTCTCGCTCAACTGCGACATAATAATCAAGGGGGTGCAGCCTAGGGGTTAGGTAGCCAGATGTAAGGGGTGATGGGGTCGCAGAAATTGTCTGACAGCCATTATTGGGTTCTTCTGCTTGCGTGGCATAGTGCAGAGTCCTGTTGCCAGACATTGGTTCTTCCAGCAGCCACCCTCTTGAATCAGGGCAGCACTAACTCCTCAAGGTCCTTGATATAGGTCTCCGTGTTGAGTCTGAGGCCCTATGGGAAGATGAATGGAGGCATAATTTCACCATCACCACTGATCACTCCAAACACCTTCGTAATTACCATTAGAATCACCCAACTCTTTTCAAATCCTTTGCACTCTCCTCAAATTGAGAACCAAAGAAAGACTGTGAAATGTTTTTATTGGAACTTCCGGTGCGAATGCCAAGCAATACAACATGCCGTTTACAAATTTATGGCAAAGTGAATTGCGTCATTGCACTCTTTTTCACACAGACAGTATATTTTTTTAAGCACCATCTTTGAGAAAAAGAGATTTATGACGCAATAATTTAATTTCTGTACCACACGTGAAGATATTAAGATAGCCTTCTAAAGAGATTGCCTGTAAAAGTTTTTCAGCGTTTTAAAAATAAATTTAAGAAGACAATGTGCATTTTTGCTTCAGTAAAATCCTTTATTATATTTAAGTTTTAATAGAAACGAAATTTATTTACTAATAACATTTTATTCATTTTCTCCCGTCGCGTCTATCAAGATTACGATTCTGTTCATCAAAAACCTTCTTCAATATTCTCGGTTTGATTCTTGTTGAACTGCTGAAAATAATGAATCTTTATTTCCGAAAGTCCTTGTACTCAGTTTCGACTTGATTAATTCCCTCAAATTCTGTCTACTTATGAAGTCTGGAGAAAGTCCAGGCCAAAACAATGTCTGAATTTCATAATCTTGGGAAATACTTTTGATTGATTTAGCTGAATAGGCAGAAGTATTATTATTCTGTTGGTATATTGCCCGACTAGAACGAGAAAGATGTCGGATGAAAGGAATAAGGTGCTTCTTTGGAATTTCATCATTTTAATAATCGGCAGTGACACCTTCATTACAGCCGATCAGTTTTCCTACAACTTGACTAGTGAAATAGTCCCACACCATTAAGTTAACACCTCCAATATTTCTTGTTGGTTGGAGACTGTCTTCTTTTTCAGTTGATATTTTACATCTATAATCAGGGAAAATATTGACTTACTAGCTTAAAAGTCGCCCCATCGAGTGACATTTAACCTAGCTCCTGCGACGGGCTCTTGATTGGGCCTTCGGCTGATTCAAGAGTTCGATAGTCCCTAAGTCTTTGCATATTATCAGCACTGGAAACACTTCTGGCTCCCATTTCCTCTGGGTTTTCATTTGCACGGGACTTTCTTTTCCTCGCCGCAGCCTTGAGCTCTTGTGATTGCAATCTGTTGGCAGAGATTTTTTATTGCGATGCATACTGCTGCCGTATGAGATAGGCAACAATAAACTACAGAAGAACTCAAAATTGATCACGGCATTTAAGTATTGCATTAATATTTAAGCTTAGATTTTAAAAGTTCAATGATATTTCTTCTGCTACCACTTAATTTAAAGACAATTTGATGTACGTAGGTCCCTACTTTCTGTACAAACAATTATTTTTAATTCATGGGTGATTTTCGCAATTAATTTCATTTATTCCCAAATTTATTTCCAAGTTATAAAAATTGTTATCGTACAAAAAGATTAGTCGCAAAAATTCACCGAAAAAAATCGCAGTAGTGAAAATTTGGGAATCCAAAATTTTTGTAACATGAGCTATTGAAAGTTAGAGAATTGTGTCCCTTTAATTGAAAAAATGTGACACACTGACATTAGAATTTATTATATAGAAGAGGGAGGTGTGTAATTGAGAGTTGTGTCCCTTTGATTGAAAAAGTGTGTTACACTTACATTGGCATTTATTATATAGAAGATGATCTATTGAAAGTTGTGTCTTTTTGAGTGAAAAAGCGTGACACATTGACATTGGCATTTATTATATAGAAGATAACAGAGAGAAGAAATGAGAGTCTTTACAGGGGCAATAATGGTCTTTTATTATTAAAATTTCTTTAACGGTTAAGGCTCTTTTCGAAAATCCTACTAGAAATGCCAATTTCTTTGAAATGCCTCTTTGTAGTAGATCTAGGTACAATTTTTCCTTCATCGGAAGTGAAAATTCTCGGACAAAGATGTGATTGTCTGTTTTCTCTCCGTAGAAGCTATCTGTATCAGCCTTCGTTTGTCTATCGAGTTGAAAGTCTCTTATTATTAATGTACACCATCTTATAATTAGGACGGTGCACATTAATCGATAATAGGTAGAAACCTATAACCAATAGCGGACGTTCATAAACTTATAATTAACCTTCCGTATCTGTCTATATTTCTGAGATGAGGTATTATGTAAACTATTTGCATTGCTCGGACTATCATCCTCATCTTTGTTGCCATTTTTATCACAACATTTCGGCCGTTGTACGCCTCGGCCTTCTTCAGGTGGTTGGAATGTCGAACTGAACCCTCAAAGACATATGGCACAGTAGATAGAGGCGTTAGTTAGATCCAGTGACAGGACCCAAAGAGCGAGAGTTCAATACCTGGTTAAGGCGGTGGAGAAGTTGGAGAGGGGAATTAACAGGAGATAACTGATAACTGATATCCATTAGACATGGCACGTGAAACTAGAACTGTCTATCCCAGCGAGCGAAATAAAGGGTTCAGTTCGACATTCCAACCACCTGAAGAAGGTCGGAACGTACAACGGCTGAAACGTTGTGATAAATATGGCAACAAAGATGAGGATGATATTTCGAGCAATTAAAATAATTAACCGCCCGTTAATACCATTAGGTACACGACACAAATACTTCCTTAATATTTTGCAAGTCATACTTTCGGGATCAGTGAAATTGCTTTTTGAATATATTTGTCAAACAACTACAATGTTTTAGTTCTAACAATTGTATGAATTACAAGTACATGGCCGTAAAGAATATATGTAAAAATTGTGGTAGAAACATATGCAAAGATCACAGTAACATTCTTGTTCATTGCTTGGAAAGTGAAAAAAAAAACAACAACAAAAAACAAAAAACAAAAACAAAAACAAAACAGATGATCAGAAGTCAGATTAATCATAAATTATTTTAAAAGTTCGGACTGAAAATAAAACGAAACGTATTTTTGCATATTTGAATTATTGAAACTTGCAAAATTCATTTTTTATTCATTGATTCTATCAACCCTTCTCGGACTATTTAATGTCATAAAATAATTTAGATTGTAAGGATTTTTTAGGCGGGGGAAATAATATTGATTTAGTGATCCAAGTCTTACTAATTAATCCATAGCTGGGGGGGAGAAAAGTTGGATTCATACCTTTCCCAAGAGTATTTGCGCGTAAGTCAATATAATGAACCCAACTGAAATTGGAACTCGGCTTTCCGATTAACAATTACGAGCCATTATCCAATACACCACCCACACATCCAAACTTACAACACTTGCCATTCCCAAGCGGTCACCCATCTCGATACTGACAAGGCTTGATGTTGCTTAACTTCAATAATCGTTTGGGAATCGTTGTTTCAACGTGATATGACCGTAAGCTTAACTTTTTTACTATTTTCATTCTATTTTTCAATATAAAACCTTTTTAATTTTAGATTATTATTTATTCTATAAAAATCAGAAAGAATATTGAAGAAAATACATAACAATAAACAAAATACATAATAAAATTTAAATGCAACGGCAATCGCCATTTTCTGTATCCTTGAATCCTCGTCTTTTATCTTCCTCTCTTCCCTCAGTAACGTTTGCGTCTTAGGGGTTTGTTCGCCTTGCGTCGGGTGAAAATTAAGAACGAAATGATATAACTATATTATTTTAAATGTGTTATTTGAAAACCCCATAGTACTAATGCTGTGACAGTATCTCGCAGTACTAACAGAGAATTAATTCTGGATTTTTAGAAGCATAATTAATACGGATTTCTTGAGAAACATATATTTTGATTTTCATTTTTGTAATTGATACTAGATTTTATGGTGGGCATTAATTGGTTAATATCGTCAGTCGTTTTTGATAGACATTTTTCAAAGCCCAAATCAAACACGTTATTACTGGAAAATATTTAAGGCAATAAATTTTTCATTTACGCTGAAATGCTGAAGACTGTTAAGGATTTAGTAATGATTTTCTCATTTTTGAATTAATGAATTAAATTTTCAAAATCAATGACTATTTTATTAAAAAAGAAGAAGACTTTCCAAATTGTATAAAAAAAGAAAAAAAGACTATTAAATGCCAAGCGATATTAGTTTTCCGTAAGTTTATGTGGATTTTATTTTTTTGAAATTCTGAATTTTTCTTACGGCTTGTAAACCATTTAATATAATTCACGTATTGAATTATAAAGCATATATTATAAAGAATTATAATGAATATAATAAACAATTCAGCAAATTTTAAAAACACTTTTAAGATTTTCTTAAAATAGCATAAACGATGACATTGTGAATTTTAGCTTCAACTTAATATAAAACTGACATGGAGAGTGATAGTCTTCGACAAGTTGACGTTACAGCAAACCTACCATAATAACTGGTCACGGAATTGATGATGATGATGATGATGATGACGATGATGATGATGATGATGATGATGATGATGATGATGATGATGATGATGATTAAGAAGCCGAGGCGGAAGGGGAAATGTAAAACCCATTTCTTGGCGCTATCGCCCCAAGACTGTTAAAATTTTCCAAGACAATAAATATTAACTAGTTCAGCCAATCAACACGATCAACAAAATTACCATTTAATTAATTTATTGCTTTAATCATGAATAATTAAAGAACAATAACCGCAGACGACTTTGTCCGAAAATGAGCGCATGCGCACATAAAATATTTTTCTTCTAATGATCTCATTCAATTTTGGTTGCATTCAACCTTGAGATTTTTATCCGGCGTCAAATTATCATCGCTTCTTCAGTAATTAAACATTCTAAATAACTATATCTTGTCAGAAATGTATGCAATGTAGAATATCATATATATATATATATATATATATATATATATATATATATATATATATATATATGTGTGTGTGTGTGTGTGTGTGTGTGTGTGTGTGTGTTTGTTTTTTTTTGTTTTATCAGTAAATTTGCCAGAATTGATATTAACTTTTATTTTATATTATTTTTTCCCTAACTACTTTCTTCTTTATTCGGAAATTTAAAAGATTTAATAAAAAATTGATAGACAGAACTTGTTCATATTATTTAACACTATGTGTGTGTGTGTGTGTGTGTATATATATGCATATATATAGCATAATGAGAAGCCACGTATACTTCCTTAATATGTATATATAGAAAAAGTTGCAAATTAAAAAAATAATAATGTTTTTATGAAAGTATTTATTTTATATATATTTGATATTTCAGATTGACCTGAAATATCAAATATATATAAATACTTTCATAAAAAACATTATTATTTTTTTAATTTGCAACTTTATATATATATATATATATATATATATATTGTTTTTATGCGCAGTACTTATTAGAAAGTACTCAATATTAGTGATAGAGCTAACATATTTAGTTGTAAGGATATGAATTTTTTTTTCCCTGGGTTTCACGCTTTTGCGATCATCAGACAAACTGGTTTACTTTTTTTTTTAAATTGGATCTAATTATGCTTGTCTATGTTTGATTATGTTTGGTAGTGGGAGGAGGAAATTCTCGTCAGTGTCCGTTTGGGATAACACTCTCACACACCCAGACATACATGCATACAGGTGTATGCATTTTAGTTCACACAAACACACCTATATAAACAATCTGAAATTAAGCACAGATACACATTCATGCGTTCAAACATACATACATACGCAATTGTAATTCTATTTCGGTGTCGAGACTGTAGCGTTTCCTATATGTAGCAATGTTGTTTCAGCAAGGGGCAGTTGCGGGTGTACTTGACTCTTTTCAGGTCGGCCGCCTGTGTCGTCAGACGAACTTACACTTCCTCACACACATACAAACATGTAGACATGTACATACACTCTTATTGGTATTGATACATACACTCCTTTCATCATCACATTGATTAAGTGAGTTCTGCCTCTGGATGTGTTTCCTTGTGCGTGTGTGTTGTGTATATATATATATATATATATATATATATATATATATATATATATATATATATATAGGAGGTACGGTGGATTAGTGGATAGCGGCTCCAGGTTGAGGAATTCCAGACGAATCCATTACATTCACTTACGTACTATTACCCTTGGAAAAGGTATTAATCCTTTTTTTCTCCCTTCAGCTATGGATAAATATCTTTCTGTTAAATATTTTACTAAGAGGGTTACTTTTAGGGAAATGTTTATCGATTAAATAGAGAAACTTCTGGCCTAACTTAGTACTGGCCTATTGGTTAAATGTGTGTACCAAATGGTTTTACTATTCTTATTTATTTTCCTTAGATCAATATTATCATATTTTCTATACTTGATTTCATCGAACTTGTAACCCCTATTTTTTAAAGCAGTAGTATAAACACCACTGTATTTATCAAATACATTTTTATCAGATGAGTTGTTGCTAATCCTATATTCTACAGATGAGGGTATATATTTGATTATAGATGGAGGGTAGTTAGAATTGGCGTGAATATATATTGGGTTAGCATTATTTTTCATATAAGTTTGGAATACATCATTAACAAGACCTAACGCAACATCAAGAGAATCAACTCGTTTAGCGATTTAGTGATCTATAAAAATCAGAAAGAATATTGAAGAAAATACATACCAATAAAGAAAATACACAACAATAAAATTTAAATGCAACGGCAATCGCCAAACAGTACTATATTGTACAATAGAAATCTTGTGGTAACCTGCATACTAAAAGAGCATCAAATGTTAATCCTTAAGATTTAAGCTTTTCAATTCCCTATGAATCATTTTCCTTAATTTATCAAAATTAATTCTAGTAAAATTTCTTACTACCATAAGATCATCATCTCTGTATAACCCTATATTATCGACATTAACGTCATCATAAGCGCTAATCTTCTGACCTGGTGGGTTTATTTATCCTATATAATCATATAGGATAAATAAACCCACCAGGTCAGAAGATTCTGTAGAATCTAATGATCCCATAAGGATGTCAAAGTGAATATCAGAGTTTTGAACACAGTAGTCATTGTTGTTAATATGAACGGATCTTCTACAGTTCATTATTATATTTAGATCTTCACTGGAAATGTTAGAGTTTTCCTTGGCAAATTCCACAGCTATGGTAAAAAGGTCCTTGGAAATGGAGGGGTAAAAATCCACGATATCAAATTGGATAAAAAGAGCCCCTGCTTTTGTTGCTAATTCCTTTGAACTAATTAATGACATCTGTGGTCACAGTCCATTGTAAAAGTCCAAGGCATCGTTTAATTTGTTTGTTGACTCTATCCAGGATAACTTTGCTTATATTTCCGTTTTCTGGTCTGCTAGGGTTGATAGTCCAGTATGTAGTTTGATCTCAAAATCTGGTTTATGATCTTTAATTATGACATACGATACTTTGGTACAGAGCTTACTACCCTTATTGCTAATTTTAAATTTATCAGTTATATTTTTACAGTCAGTGTTAATTCTATCAATTAAATTAATATTGTTAATATTCACCTTCTTGTAGTTAGGATTAAATTTATAAAAAATAGCAGATTTGTGAGATTTAACAAAGATTTTGTTCGATCTATTAATATCTTTAACAACAGAATTTGAATGCCTCTGAAAATGATTCCTATTTTTATGAAAAGAGATATCGTTAATAATGCTTTGTAGATCGTATTCAAAGCCGTGTAAGTATTCAATAGGGGTGCAGTTTTCAAACATTTGAAGCCATACAGATCTGATATATTTGAAACATCCCGATCAAGAAAGAATAATTGAGCTTTCCATTTTATTTTTCGAAACAGATCTTGTCTTCAGAACCATTTTTTTTTTACAAACATTCCCGAAATTGCTTTTTTCCATGTTTGAGTATTTAATAAATGTAAAAAGTGCTCCACCGTGAAAAGAGCGAAGCTCGACTCTGTATTGAGCCCTTTTTTAAATTAAATGTTACGTACAATGGAATTATATTCCATTTGTTCTCATTTTACCTGGATATTTCGCTCCCAAGAAGGGTTTGAACATGCAACCCCTTTTTTTCCCAGCATACTTTAGACCTCTCGACCACATAGAGCGTCACAGTCCAGAAGGGTTCTATTTAGCCTTCTAAAGAATACAGATCCCCTCGTTTTGATTTCTGTAGCAGAATGGTCAAAAGCAAGCCGGATTATCCACTGAGCCATGACCTGAAGAAGTCCGACGCGTACAACGAATGAAACGTCATGAATATGACGATAAAGATGAGGACAGCAGTCCAAACAATATAAATAGAGTAAATAGTTACAATACTTAATCTCAGAAATATAGGAAGAAATATTTTGGTATACCACATTTTACAATAGAAATCTTATGGTAACCTGCATACTAAAAGAGCATCAAATGTTCTTTCTCTCCCTTGTCAGAA